TCTTATTTAATAGCAACCGTTCGATCTGAGATCAACGGTCGATATTAATATGCTTTATAAATAAAGAAAAAAAAGTTTTAAAATTAAGAAAAGTTACCGTTGTGACACGTGGCACAATTTGGAGTCTTGGAATTCAAATTTTTTTAAATCCAACGGCAGAGATTAATTATTTGAAATTTTTTTTTTTAAATTGAAAAAATCCTAAAAAATTGTAAAAAATTGTAAAAAATCTGAAAAAAAAATTGTAAAAAATTGTTTTTACTTTTCTATAAATACCATTTCTTCTCCATCTACCTTACACCACAATTTCATATTTTCTCAACCACTTTCAATCAAATTCTTATCTTTCTCTCAAAGTTTCAATCCAATTTTTTTCCACAAAATGACTACTGATGCAGGTACGAATTGGTCGCTCCTTGAAGATGTTGCGTTGTGCACTAACTGGGTTGAAGTTACTCATAATTCCCTTACGGGTAATGAGATGCAGTTGCGAGAAATGTGGAGTTTAATTCATACCAAATTTCTTGAGCAAATGAGTGGGAAAAGAACCAAGGAATCGATGTCCAGTCGTTGGAAAATACTTAGCCATTCCTTTAGTACGTGGAGAGATGCCTTGACACAAGCTAGTAGTAATGTTCGAAGTGGGGCAAATTATGCGGATGAGGTAAGAATATATTATAAATATTTGTTTGTATTATTATTTTGTTACCTAATTTGATTATAATTATTTGTTTGTATTATTTATTTGTTACCTAATTTCATTATTATTATTATTTGTTTGCATTATTTATTTGTGACCTAATTTCATTATTATTATTTGTTTGTATTATTTATTTGTTACTTAATAATTTCATTATTATTATTTGTTTGTATTATTTATTTGTTACCTAATAATTTCATTTTTATTATTTATTTGTTACCTAATTTCATTATTATAATTATTTGTTTGCATTATTTATTTGCGACCTAATTTCATTATTATTATTTGTTTGCATTATTTATTTGTGACCTAATTTCATTATTATTATTTGTTTGTATTATTTATTTGTTACCTAATAATTTCATTATTATTATTTGTTTGTATTATTTATTTGTTACCTAATAATTTCATTATTATTATTTGTTTGTATTATTTATTTGTTACCTAATAATTTCATTTTTATTATTTGTAGCAACTTCAAGCACAAGCATGGTATGCTGCCAAAATCAAATCAAGAAACAAATCATTCACCCGTGGGAATGTTGGAATATTGTTAAAGATTGTCCTAAATTCAAAGTTGTGCCTGTTGGTCCAGAAGTATGCATGAACAGCATCCCTCTAAGCAGCACCTTTGTACACAGCACCCCTCCACACTCTACACCCGATCATGGCTCCCATGTTGATGAAGAAGATGGAGAAGAAGTGCCTGAACCGTCTATTCCTGAACAAGCGTCGGGGTCGACCCGTTATCCAATTAGGCCTCTAGGTAAGAAGGTTTCAAAGAGAAAAGGGAGTGCTTCTAAGAATGATTATGGAAAGTACATGCAAGAACTTGCTCGTCAAGGTGAATTGACGTTGCCACGGGAATTGGCGAAATATGAGGCTAATAAGGCTAGAGATGAGGTAAAAGCTGCAGCTATTCAACAAGCATTTCAAGCTGAACAGAGGGAAAGAGAGCTACTTAGGCAAGAAAGGGAGTTGCTTAGAGAAGAAAGAATTGCATAACGAGATCGTGACATTATGAACACGCGTTTAGAAGGGATGTCTCCAAATTTTAAATATTTTTGGCAGTCGGAGAAAGCAGATGTGGTCCAAAGGAGGCGTGCAAGAGAAGCGAGATCAAGACAAGATGGTCCTAGCACAACAAGACAAGATGATCCTAGCACCACAGATTGGTTAAGTGGTGAGGAATAGGGTACTTTTGTAATCGGAGCCCATAGTTTTCCAATCACTTTGGGTTGTAATTTATTATTTATGTTATTTCCATTTTATTGAAGTTAGTACTTTATTTAAAGTGAGAGTACATGTATTTAATTTCGTAATATATTTATCCTAATAATAGAATCTTTATTCATCAAATTGTTCACGTATAATGAAATTATAAAACACACCAAATAAAACTAAAAAACTCACCAATTGGAATTACATAAGCACACCAAATAAAATTACATAAACATACGAAATAATAAAAAAACTCACTACAAAAAACACACCAAATAAAATTACATAAACATACCAAATAATTCACACCAAATAAAATTACATAAACATACGAAATAATAAAAAACTCACTACAAAAAACACACCAAATAAAATTACATAAACACACCAAATACAAACAAACATACTAAATAAACCTAAGTATCTTCAGCTTGTTTCAATGCCCACTGGTGCTCTATCAAGTCAATTTGCCGATCAATGTGCATAGATGACCTTTGAAGTGCAGTATATCGTTGAATGACCCTTTCATTGTAACGTCAATCCCTTTCTAATGGGTCATGTTGCACGGGTTCTTCGGTGGCATCATGCGCACAATATATCCGTGTTCTTGAATTGTTCATCGTGTCTGGCTCTGGCTCATATTCATCAACCGCATCATAATCGAACTCATCTTCCACAATCATGTTGTGAAGAATGACGCACGTCATCATGATGGATCGAAGTGACTCTACATCGAATATTCTGGCAACACCCCTGACGATCGCCCAACGAGCTTGAAGGATACCAAAACAACGCTCCACATCCTTCCTGTACCCCTCTTGACAGCTTGCAAAGTGTTTTTCCTTTGCACTTTGCGGGCGTGGCACTGTTTTGACAAATGTTTCCCACCGTGGGTAAATGCCGTCAACTAGGTAGTATGCCCCTTCGTACCTACGTCCGTTGACGACGTACGTGACTTTTGGTGCCTTTCCTTGCAGGACGTCGTTGAACACTAGGGATTGGGCAAGGACGTTGAGATCATTTTGAGCCCCTGGAACCCCGAAAAAGGCGTGCCATATCCATGTATCAAAAGATGCCACTGCTTCCAAAATGATAGATTTTGATCATTTTCTGTCCCCATATGCGCCTTGCCATGCACTTGGACAGTTTTTCCACGTCCAGTGCATACAATCGATGCTTCCTATCATCCCAGGAAAACCTCGCATCTCACCCTTCTTCAGAAGCCTTTGCAAGTTCCAGCGAGTAAGTTTTCAGAGGTACTCTGCGGTGTACAAAGATTCGACTGCTCCGCAAAACTTCATCAGGGCCTTAAGAATGGTTGATTTCCCCATCCTCGTTATCTCATCCACTTGGTCTGCAGATGCTCCATACGCAAGCATCCGCAACACAGCAGTGATTTTTTGCTCAGGCAGGAGACCCATAACACCACAAGCATCCTTCTTTTGCACAAAGTAAGAATCATGGTTGCAAACATCAGTCATGATTCTGTTGAACAAATGTCGTTCCATTCTAAAACGGCGTCTGAAGTACGTATCAGGAAATGCACTGTTATGGACAAAGTAATCATCCAACAGCTCTTCACCTCGTCGTTGCCTGCTTCTATCAAGGTTTCTTGAACGGTTGGGCCTGCATATCTGAGCAACAGTCTGGATGACTCGACGGGAATGTGAGGCTCTGGCCATTCTTGTTTCGTCATCTCTCCTTCTACGCTCATCATCCTCTTCCATCTCATTTTCGGCTATCTGAAGGTTGAACATTCCTTCAGATTGGTTAAACAATTCTTCCTCTTGCTGATCGATTTCCCACATCATCCTTGATGAAGAAGAAGACATTGTAATGATGGATGATGAAGAAGAAGCAGAAACTATGAATAATGAGATAGAGATGTTGAGAAAATTAGTGTGAGATTTGTGAGGATGGATGGTGGATTATATGGACGATTCAGAAAGGATTGGATTGTAGATAAGGCCACGTGGCATGCCGTCATTCGTTAAAAATTTGATCGAAATCTATCCTCAAAGATTCTGAAAAGATAATGACACGTGGCACGATCGTATTGGATAAAAATCTTATCGAAATCGATCTCCAATAATTATATTTTCGGATAATGACACATGGCACAATTTTGAACGAGTTAAAATCTGATCGAAATCTATCGCCAAAGATTCTCAAAAGATAACGACACGTGGCACGATGACATTGGATAAAAATCTTATCGAAATCTATCGCTAAATAATTGTTTTTTTTATAAAATGACACGTGACGCAACGAGAACGATTTAAAAAATCTTATCCGAAATTACAAATAATTTTATTTTGTATTATTTAAACAAACAAAAAAAACTAATATTTTATTGCCTATTGCCAGGGGGGCTCTAAGGGTGGAGTTGCAAATGGCAATTACTGTTCATTTATGGCAGTTACTATTCATTAAAGGCAGTTACTGTTCAAAATGGTGGATTCAATAGTAAATTGCCAGTGGGGAGGGCTCCATGGGTGGAGTTGCTCTAAGAAGTAACTTACATTTTTTTTAATTAAAATAAATTGGATTTTTTTTATGTTTTATTTTACAAAAGTACTCATAGGAGTTATGTTCCTTATTTCATCGGTAAATTACATAGTAGATCTTTAGATTTGAAATCTATTACAATCTCATATAACATCTTTAAAACATTTCACTTTCAAACCTCACGTATTATTTTATTTTAAAATAATACATCCGTTACATTTTTCATCTATTGATCCATTAAGAGCTGACGTGGCTACCACATTTGTGCCACGTGGCTGTCAAATGTGTGCCACGTGGCTGCCAAATGTGTGCCACGTGACAAAAATAATAATTTTTTAATTTTTTTAAGAAAAAACTAAATCTTCTAAATAAAAATAATAATAAAAACCTAAACCTTCAGATCGTCTTCCCTTCCCCCTCCACCACCTCCTCCTCCTCCTCCTCCTCCATCTTCATCCTTCCCTCTGCAACCCGAAAAAAAAAAAAAAAAAAAAAAAGACAAAAACCCCTTCAGTTCGTCTTCCCTCCCTTCCTCCTTCCCTCTAATCTCCCCTATCTTCATCTTCTTCCCCAGATTTCGTAATTAGATCAGTAATTAGATCAGACGGTTTGAGAAGCTAGCTCGCACCGTTTGGAAGACCAGGAGTACATCAAAGCCATGCCTTTGCCACGTAGCAAGTTTAACCGGTTGATAACATCTAAGGAAAGAAACGCACAAACTAAATTCATTTGATTTGAGCCTGTTTGGTTGCCGAGAAAGTGGACAGAAAATAAATTCTTACCTCTGAGAAAGAGGCCACGAGGAGAGGAGAGATGGACTTCCATGAAGTGCGGGTGCTCGAGCTGGCCGTTCATGGACAGGTAGTAAACGACAGGAACTTTTCTGGGAATGAAAGGGAGACTGGGACCGGTCTGGGCAGGACTAATCCGGTCGGGGCTGGTTTCCGAGTCCCTCCATTTACTGGGGATTTGGAGGTGGGAGGGTCTGTCGCCGAAAGTGACAGGCATGGCTAATGGCTCAGTAGAAACAAAGAGTTTGGAGTCAGAGAAAAGCTGTTTGGTTACCGAGAAAATTGTGTGGGGTGGGGGGGAGAAAAAGTGCGGGAAAATGGCAGCTGGGAGAAAATTTAGGAGAGGAATGGAATGGAAGAAAGGGTGCTGGGAAAGGTGGGGGTAGGGAAGGGAGGTGTTGGGAAGGGGGGAAATGGGTTTGCTGGGTTGCGGGTTTTAACTTTTGTTTTGGTTTTTCATCTTTTTTTTTTATAGAAGATTTAGGTTTTAAAAAAAAAAATAAAGTTCTTTTTTTTTTGCCATGTGACACATTTGGCAGCCACGTGGCACAAATGTGGTAGCCACATCAGCGCTTAACAGATCAATGGATGGAAAATGTAACGGAGGTATTATTTTGAAATAAAATAGTACGTGAGGTATGAAAGTGAAATGTTTTAAAGATATTGTATGAGGTTGTAATAGACTTAAAACATGAGGGGCTACTATGTAATTTACCCTTATTTCATTCTCTTGTGGATTTTCCATTTTTTTTTTGTTTCAAGGGCTTTTGTGTTCAATTATATTTGGTGATGTCTGGAGACACCAAAACTCACTTCTGGCATTCTAATATTAGAGATTAGAGATTAGAGATTAGAGATTAAGCTAGTAATGGGGGCTTTATCCTCCATGAGGCTACCACATTTGTAGCTCTAATGAAAAATTTCATTCCCAATGGGCCGGAAAATGAGGCTATATCCACCACAAGGGCTAGCAACTTCAATCCTTGGGTAGCAAGAAGTTAAGCTACATCTAGCCCCAAAAAGTAGAGAACCACACCAAATTGAGGGCCCAGTCTTGGTTTTTGTTTTTGTTTTTTTAGTTTAGAAATTGGTGAGCCCCATTTTTAATTCCAAAAAATGATTTTAAGGGTTTACTTTTCAACCGTTTAGGATTTTAAGAGTTTATTTTCAATTGTTTGTTTGATTAAGAAAACATATACAAACAATGACTATTTTTTTGTGTTATTGATTAGAAAAAAATGTTGTGCTTCATGTTTAGTTTTCTAGAATGAAAAATTCATAAAAAAATTGATGAAATTTAACATTGGTAGTTTAGAGACCTAAACCGAAAATATAAACAAATAACATAACTAAATTGTGATAAGATAATCAAATCCAATGATTGTTATGAAATGAAAATCTTGTTTGATTTCGGATAATGTGTCAAGCAGAGAAATAAAGCAATGATTGTTATAAAATGAAATCTTATCTTATCTTATCTGATTTCATAGAAATAAATCAACAGATGAGATTGAGATAAGATAATCAAAACCAATGATTGTTATGAAACGAAATCTTATCTTGTCTGATTTCATAGAAACAAACCAACGGATGAGATTGAGATAAGAGAACCTACAACGATGCATAAGTGATGAAATCTAACTTTATCAGAATTTGAATATTTTTAGGTTAAAAAGTTCATAAATTAAAATTTAAGATAACAAGTCTAAAAATCAAGTTTAGAGAAGTTAAGATAATAATAATTTACCGCGTAATCAAATTACTACATAATAAAATATATAGTCCCATATAGAGCCCGAAAGATATATAGTTCCTTATTGGGAGACATTCTTTTTTAGAGCACCTAAGATTCATTGGAGCTCTAAATTGAGCTATATCCACCATTTTTCTAGCCTCATATAGAACCCCTCATTGGGGATGCTCTAATCAGGCCTTCGTTACGTTGAAGCTGTTTTTGAACCGCAAGAACTTTGAATATGGAAAGTTGCACAAGTCAAGTGTGGTTTTATTTTAGAGAGTTTTAATGAAATGCCCATGGTACTGTTTACTTTAACGAAAAACCACATTTTTACACTAAAAAGTCAATCCTTGTACTATTCACTTTACCCTTTATTTTGTCATTATCGTTAAAATTCAAAGTTTTTAAACTCACTTTATTAGTTTTCCTTTTATTTTAGGAAACTTTAATGAAAAGAGCTTGGATCAAGATTAATTTAATAAAAACCCACCACATAGTTTTCTTTAATCAAATGCACCTCAAAATTAACCATAAGGTCAAGGACCCTAAATTTCACACGGGCTGGATTACAGAGCCCAAAATGAACAAAATTATGTTTCCAAAATTACCCCAACAGAAGCCAGCCCTTAGGTACCGTTTGGTATGCAGACGGAATGGAACGAAATGGGACGAGACGGAACTGAGAGGGAGCAAAGATGCTCTCAGATGGAAACAAGGAGACGGAAATATTATAATTTTGTGTTCCACGAATGTGGAACAAGTCGTTTTAGGGGGTGAGACGGAACAAAAATTCACCCAAAATTCGTCCCATGGAACAATGCGTTCCACCTGTTTTAAGTGCACTAAACGTGAGACGGAACACCTCATCCCATTCCGTTTCATCTCGTTCCATGTACCAAACAGTACCTTAGTGAATTAAATGAAGGATTGTTTGGTGCAGATATTCTAGCATATTCAGAGGTTGCCTTGTCATGGTTTCCTCTGCTCTCTCACCAGCCATCATTGCAAGCTCGCTCGCTCCCTAGAGTCTTCCATTCGTGGTTGCCACTATTTTCTACGATCTTCAATTTCAATCAAGATGGTGCTTCAGAAAGATATCGATTTGCTCCATCCACCAGCTGAGCTTGAGAAGAGGAAGCACAAGATCAAGAGGCTTGTACAGACCCCTAACTCTTTCTTTATGGTATGGATATTAATCGATGGATGCTTACGCTTTTGGGTTTTGTATTTATTCTTATTCCCTCGAATTTTGGGTTTTGTATTTTTTTTTTATGTCGAAAGATGAGTTTTGTATTTAGGTTGTTTAGTTTCGAATGTTTAAGTGGGATGATACTAGTTTCGAATGTTCTGAACTTGAATAGGATGTCAAGTGCCAGGGGTGCTTCAACATGTGAATTTTTATCTTTTTTGTTGTTTTCGTTTATTTATTAAATTATGTGCTAGGAAATAAGAGTATTTATTTGTTGTTTAAAAGTGAATGTAATCGAATATGTTTGTGCAAAACCACTATGTTCAGTCACTCGCAAACAGTTGTGGTGTGCGGGAACTGCCAGACTGTGCTGTGCCAGCCTACTGGTGGTCGTGACTCGTGCCAGGCTCATCGAGGGTTCCTCTTTTGGGAGGAAGGGGACTGATTGTCCTGCAAATACCATTTTTGAAATGTTGTGTTTACACTTGTATTGTAAGATAAAACTGTTTTTGGAGAACTCAAAACATAACACTGTTTTTGGAAAAAGAAAAAAAATCAGATACAGTGTTTGTTTTGTCTGTGCACAAACAAACACTGTATCTGGAAAAAAAACCAAAATCCAGAAACAGTGACTTAAATTCTAGAAACAGTGACTTAGATTCCAGAAATAATCTATGTTTTAACTTTTGACTGTTTCTTTTTTTTTTATACATCAGTTGAATATATTTGAGAAACAGAGTGCTTATTTTGTTTTGAATCCATATACACTAATTTCACTATTTCTTTTCTAGCTTACATTTAAGAAACAATGTGTCTATTTCATTTAAATCCAGAAACAGTGACTTAGATTACAGAAACAGTATTTTAGATCCCAAAAACAATGACTTAGATTCTATAAACAGTGACTTAGATTCCGTAAACAATGTTACTTAAAATCTAGAAACAATTTATTCTTACAATCTATAAATAATGACCCGTCGTTATTATTGAATAGTATGCAGATCTCAAATTTATTTTTTGGAAAAACAAACGATGAACTCCACTGACGAAGAAAAATTGAAAAATAGTATCTCGAATACACTATGAATAATAACGACGATTACATTTTAACGAGATAATACAAAATATAAATTAAATAGCATGAAGATCTATATTTTTGTTTCAAAGAAAAAGAAAAAGGTCTGCAAAACAACGATGAACTCCATTAACAACGAAAATCTGGAACTCAACTTAAAAATGTTAGGGGTAAAATCGACAAATCATAATTTATTATAGTTGGACCATTTTTAGTTGGACTGCTTTAATATGAGTTTTGTACTAATCATTAAATAAAACTTATAACATAGTTTTTTATAAAAACAAAAAAAATTTAAGTTTTTTTATATTTTAATAGTGGCTTCCGAGGGTTGTAATAATAAAAAAAAAATCAAAGAAAGCATACTAATTTTGCAACACGTTGTGGTTTCCAACAGTGGAGACGATTGGGTATCTCTCTCTCTATGCTAGATTATCTAAATTTTTTAGTCGGATTATCTGTTTGGGTTTGCTAGTCCGGTTATCAGTTTACATCTCAACGACAAGATCTCAACCCTGCTCCACCCGCAGCCGCGCGAAAGCGACGTGGTCCTGATCGTCATCTCTTCCACGACAGTCCTGGAATTGTGTTTTTCTTCTTCTTCATTACTTTAGGTCGACGGAATTTTACTAAGGCCGACCGTATTTCAGTTTAATTTCTCAATTAAAATAGGAGCTGGAAGATGCAGAATAATCTGTTCCATTGCTTGCTCTCCCTCTCTATGTTTGAATTTTCAGTCAATCAATCTGTCTCCGCGTTCAAATCCTTCTGCCAACCTAATCTACCTTGACCCCTTGTTCTTAGTCCTCACACATCTCAAGCCAAGTCCTTCCCTTTTTCTCAATTTTCGAATCCTTCGGTCATCCTCATTCTTGTTCTTCACAATGGCCTTTGATGCGATTCTGTTCAGAAATGCTGAGTGCAGCCTGTGATAAGTCTGGTTGTCCTTTTCAGTATAGGACTCAATCACTTAGGTTTGTTATTGTTGTCAATAAGTTCCTATTATTTAGGAAGACTAGTTCTACGTAGACTATTTCTTCATGCACGTTACCACTTTCTGGATAGTGTGGAGAGTGGGCTGTTTTTAGGGTTCCGTTAATTATGTAAGGCTACATAATGGCCAAAGTTTCTATTCAATAAACAAGTTGTTCCTCCAGTTTGTTTGAGTTATTTGCAGCATTACTCTTGGTATATTCGTTCTTGTTCCTAACAAACTGGTATCAGAGCCCCTCACTGGGGCTTGAGAACTGAAAAGCTGCAGCTTTTGAGTGACTTCCAAACACAAGAAAGAAAGAGAGGAAAATGACTTCTGAAGGAAGCTTTGTGCAGCCTTCCATTCCACGTTTTGATGGTCATTATGACCATTGGAGCATGCTCATGGAAAATTTCCTTCGAAGCAAGGAGTATTGGAGTTTGATTGAAATTAGTTATGAAGAACCAGCAAAAGGGGCGCAACCCCTATCAGAAGCACG